AATCTACAAAATAATTACAGGAACTATAAGTGAATTTGGCAAGGTATAGGATACTAAGTCAATGTACAAAATCAATTATATTTATCTAGACTGGCAGCAAAGAATTGGAAAACGAAGTAATTTCATTTATAGGGGCATTAAAAAACAAAATATTTAGAAATAAATTTAACAAAAGAAACTAAAGATATCTACATTGAAAACAAATTTTAAAAAACTGACGTAAATGGTTTATGAAATATAAGGTTTTAAGATGCCTTTTTTTCTGTAAATTCATCTATAGGCCCTTTTGTAAAAATTAAGAAGCTGACTTTTTTTTAGAAATAGGGTCTCACTCTGCCAGCCAGGCTGGAGTGCAGTGGCACAATCATAGCTCACTGTAGCCTCCAACTTCTGGGTTCAAGCAATCCTCCTGCCTCAGCCTCCCAAGGAGCTGGGACCATAGGCGCCCACCATCATGCACAGTTAATTTTTACATTTTTTAAAGAGATGAGGTCTTGCAGGCCAGGCGTGGTATCTCACACTTGTAATCCCAGCACTTTGGGAGGCCGAGGTAGGCGGATTGCTTGAGATCAGGAGTTCGAGACCAGCCTGGCCAACATGGTGAAACCCTGTCTCTACTAAAAATACAAAGAAATTAGCTGGGAATGGTGGCGGGTGCCTGTAATCCCAGCTACTCGGGAGGCTGAGTCAGGAGAATTGCTTGAACCCAGAAGGCGGAGGTTGTAGTGAGCCGAGATCACACCACCGTGCTCCAGCCTGATTGACAGAGCAAGACTCCATCTCAAAGAAAAAAAAAAAAAAATAGATGAGGTCTTGCTATGTTGTCCAGGTTGGTCTTGAACTCCAGAGCTCAAGCAATCCTTGTGCCTCAGCCTCAAAAGTGCTGGGATTACAGGCATGAGACACAGTGCCTAGCAAAAAATAATAACCTTTATTTTTATAATAATTTTAATTTATAGAAAAGTTGCAAAAATAGTACAGTGAGTTTCTGTATACTCACTCAATTTCCCATAATGATAACATTTTACATTACCAAAATATGTTTGTCAAAAGTAAGAAGTCAACACTGGTACCTTACTGTTTTATTTGGATTTCTCTAGTTTTTCCCTAGTGCCCTTTTTCTGTTCTAGGATCCTGTCCAGGATACTACACTGCATGTAATTGTCATGTCTCCTTAGTTTACTTGAGTCTGTGACAATTTCTCAGTCTTTCCTTTTTTTTTTTTTTTTAATGAGCTTGACAGTTTTGAGGAGTACTGGTCAGGCATTATGTAGAATGTCCCTCAGTTTGGGTTTACCTGATGTTTTCCCATGCTTGAACTATGGTTATGGGTTTTGTGGAAGAATGCCACAGTGGCAACATGCCCTTTTCATCACATCACACCAGGTGCTGTCAACACGATTTATTATGGAGATGTTTTAATTTGATCACTTGGTCAATAAGCTGATTTTAAATAGTATGTGGGGCCGGGCACAGTGGCTCATGCCTGTAATCCCAGCACTTTAGGAGGCTGAGGCGGGTGGATCATCTGAGGACAGGAGTTTGAGACCAGCCTGGCCAGCATGGTGAAACCCCCTCTCCATTAAAAATACAAAAAACTAGCCAGGCGAGGTGGCGGGCGCCTGTAGTCCTCGCTACTTGGGAGGCTGAGGCAGGAGAATGGCGTAAACCCGGGAGGCGGAGCTTGCAGTGAGCTGAGATCCGGCCACTGCACTCCAGCCCGGGCAACAGAGCAAGACTCCGTCTCAAAAAAAAAAAAAAAAAAAAAAAAAAAAAAAATACAAAAATTAGCCAAGCGTGGTGGTGGGGTCCTGTAATCCCAGCTACTCGGGAGGCTGAGACAGGAGAATCTTTTGAACCTGGGAGGTGTAGGTTGCAGTGAGCTGAGATTGCACCATTGCACTCCAATCTGGGTGACGAGAGTGAAAAAAAAAAAAAAAGTATGTGGAAATACAAAGAATGTAGAATAGCAAAAATAATTTTCAAAAGTTAAGAGCAAAGCCTTAAGACTTATATTACCTGATATAATGCCTTACTACAAAGTTACAGTAATCAAGACTGTGGAACTGGCATAAGGATAAACAAATAAGTCATTGGAACAGAATAGAAAGTTCAGAAAGAGAACCACACTTAAATGATCAATCAATTTTCAACAGAGACAGGAAAACAATTCAAGGGGGAATTGTGTTTTCATCAGATGGTGTCGGAACAAGTGGGTAGTGGGTATCTACATGGAAAAAAAGAGGCTAAGAAACCTGCCCAAGGTCACCAAGTCTGTGAGTGGTAGGGACAGGTATTCCAAGCCAGACTTTCTGGCTAACATGTGCTATAAATTGTGAATATAAATTTATGACCAAAACATTTAGGTCACAATAATTTTTCAGTGTAAAATTCAATTTGAGGCTATACTATTTAAAAATGTCAATGTCATGAAAGCAAAAGCAAAGTTAAGGAAATGTTCCAGATTAAAGGAGACTCAAGAGACTTTGCTAAGTGCAATACATGATCCTCAACCGGATCTTGGATCATACAGACACACTAAAATTCCACAAAGGACATGAATGCAATAATGGAAAATAATACGGAGAGTATGTTAGAGAATAGTTTTGTGTGAATGTTAAATTCTCTGAATTTGAAAATCATACTGCAGTTATGTAACAATATGTTATTTTTAGAAGATACACGTAGAATTATTTGGCTGTAAAGGGTGGGTGATGTCTGAAATAGTTCAGCACTATTAACAACAACGATCAAAATATATATGGAAAAAAATAAAATATTGAAAAATGTTAACAATTGGTAAACCGAAGCTAAAAGTATACGGTCATTCATTGTGTTATTCTTGTAACTTACTTGTTAGAAATTCTAAAAAAAACATTTCAAATAAAATGCTACATGTATATATCACTTAAGTGCTAGACTTTGTAATTTTTTATTTTTTATTTTTATTTATTTGTCTTTTTTGAGACAGGGTTTCGCTCTGTCATCCAGGCCTGAGTGCAGTGGTGTGATCACACCTCACTGCAGCCTCGACTTCCCAGACTCAAGCCATCCTCAGATCTCAGCCTCTCAAATATCTGGGATTATAATTGTGTGCCACCATGCCTAGATAATTTTTGTATTTTTTGAAGAGACAAGAGCCTCACTAGTTGCCCAAAGTGGTCTTGAACTCCTGGGCTTAAGCGATCTGTCCACCTCGGCCTCCCAAAGTGCTGGAATTACGGGACTTGAGCAGTCGCATTCAGCCTGTAAATGTTTTTATTTCTTTCAGAGATTTTGTTTCTTATGTTATCTCTCTACTCCCAATGCCTATCCTAAGACTTGTAACGGTAAATAGTAAACGTCTGGAATAAATGTAAATATTTGAATCTGGAGTTTGTGGAGGATCCTAAGAATCTTGTGAAATTGCTCTCATCGTGTCAGTCTACTAGGGAAGTAAATTCTGTAAAGTTAAAATTTACAGATGCAGCAGGTTTCCCAAAATAGTAATATGCTTTTTTAGGTACTACAAAGGAATGGAACCACTGGAGCTCAGAACGGTAAGAGAAGAAGTTTGAAAATAGAAGAAACTGAAGAGGAACTTGAAAAGCCAGTGGCGTTGGAAGGAAGAGGAGTCCTTGGGACAGCAATTGCGGGTAGAGCGTGGAGTATCCCATGTTTCTACCACCATTCAGAATCCGATTTTCGAACGAATTCTGTGATGATCAGGATCAATCTGCATTATTTTCGTCTCTCCGTGATCTGAAATTAACTTGGTGGACCTGGAATGACCACAGATGTGGTTTTAAACCAGCAGGTTTCGGAGTCAGGGCTGGTGCAACAGGCTTATAAAGGGAATGGTGGAAAATATGATATGTTAGTGAAAGAGGTTGCGAATGGATTGTGGAGACCTCTGAATGGTAGACTGCGAGAGTGACAAGATGAAAATGACATTATAGGAAGAGCAATCTGTCAGTTATAATGGCAGTTAAAAAGTGGCGCACAACACTGCACCTTAACCAAATTTGGAATTCCAAAGTGCCGGGACCTCTATTGGAGAGCAGTTAAATTCAATTCTATTTTAGATCACGTAGAGACTAAAATAGTGCAGATTGATCCTGATCATCACAGAATTCGTTTGAAAATCGGATTCTGAATGGTGGTAGAAACATGGGATACGTGGCACGCTCTACCCCCAATTGCTGTCCCAAGGACTCGGGACAGCGATTGCCTCTCTAATTGGCTACCCTGTTTAGCGATTACTATGTGCCAAGCGCTTACAGGCACGCTCATTAAAATAGGCAAACCGGGCCAGGCGCAGTGGCTCACGCCTGTAATCCCAGCCCTTTGGGAGGCCTAGGCGGGCGGATCACCTGAGGTCAGGAGTTCGAGACCAGCCTGGCCAACATGGTGAAACCCTGTCTCTAGTAAAAATACAAAAATTAGCCGGGGTGGTGGCGGGTGCCTGTAATTGCAGCTACTCGGGAGGCTGAGACAGGAGAGTCGCTTGAACCTGGGAGGCGGAGGTTGCAGTGAGCCAAGATCTCACCATTGCACTCCAGCCTGGGTGACAGAGCGAGACCCTGTCCCAAAAAAGAAAAAAAAAAAGGCAAACCCATTTGTAAGAGAGAGCTTATCAAGCCCATTTTACTGATGGAGAAACTGAGGAGAGACGGGATTGGCCAGACCACGACCTGGAGGCAGCAAAGATGTAAAATCAGGGCTGGGATACAAGCTGTGCCGGTAGTGTAGGGGAAACGAGCTTCCTGAGACTCAGGAGAAAGCCACAGCGATGGGAAGGGAAGCGGAACACTGGAGACCCTAAAGGGCCACAGGCTGAGCGAAGGGGAACCTCTCCTGAGGTGACAGCTGACAGCACATCTCTTTTCGGCGCCAGTCCAAAAATCGCGGTATCTGATTGGCGAGGTTGGAGGGGCTGAACGACCCTAATTGGTTAGTTCGACCTCGAACCAGACTTTCACCTGGAGGATCTGGCGAGGAGTGGGCGGGACTTCTAACTGAGTCACTCGTTTCATTGGTGAAAAGAAAACGAACCAGGCACTATTCGGAAGTGTGATTGGCTGTTGCTAGGAACCGTCTCAAGGCCTTATGGGCCCTGGTTACGGAAGCCGAGGAAGGCTGAGAGCGGGCTCTCCAGGAAAGTAGTCGCGGAATCTCAGTTAGCGGTGGAGAGGCGGTATGTCCGGTTCAATGGCGACTGCGGAAGCTAGCGGTAGCGATGGGAAAGGGCAGGAAGTCGAGACCTCGGTCACCTATTACCGATTGGAGGAGGTGGCAAAGCGCAACTCCTTGAAGGAACTGTGGCTTGTGATCCATGGGCGAGTCTACGATGTCACCCGCTTCCTCAACGAGGTGGGGCCTGGGAGGTGGGAGGCCTCTGGAGCTGCTGGGGCGAGGGGTGAAAAGGCTGTGTGGAGGGTATGTGGGAAGGAAGGGAGGCTTGGCTGGGGGCGATAAGGCGTACGAAAGGGATCACGACCCTCAGAGGGAAACTGGGGTGGGATTGGGGGGAGGGCTTTAGTTTGCATGCATTTCCAGTCAGCTCCGAGTTCTGGTGCCTTATGTAATATCATGTATTACTTATGTGTCGAGCACTTGCTGTGTGCTCAGCTAAATTCTAAGCCATCATTATCTTTATTTTACAGAAAGGGAAACTGAGGCACACAGGTTGAGAACTCTCAAGGCCATGCAGTTAACGGCCTAGATCCGTTGAACCTAGGTCTGAAGTGCACCCACGTCTGTGCTTTTCCAGTGTGCCTTCTGAAGTAATACCGTTTTTGGTTTTTGTCTTCTAGAGTAGAAGCTGAGATTTCTCTCCAGACGCTCCCCCATCTTGATTATGCCTTCATTGTCTTTTTTCCCCCCTAATCTGAGTTGACCTTGAGGCCAGAAATTCATAAATCAACCTTTTTTTTTTTTTGTCATTGGCTCATGTTTTGTCATTTTTCTTAAATACTCAAGCCTGTTTTATTTAATCTTCAAGCCTGTTGCATTAGATCTCATTTTAAAAATTATCTTTGAGACCATGGTGCAACTAATTTTTTTTTTTAATTAAGGAAACAGGATAGACTTTTAAAAATTTAAACTAACTTTATTGAGGTGTAATGTACATACGTAAATTGTGCCTAAAATGTACATTTTGCTGAGTTTTGAAAAATGTATTCATCCATGTTAAGACATAAACCATTTCCATCACTCTAAAAAGCTTCCTTTCCCTTTGCAGTCATTCTCTCCCAACCCCAGGCAAGTAGTGATATGCAACCACTAAAGATTAGTTTGAAGCTTTGATTGTGTGTGTGTGCGCGTGTGTGTGTGAGATCATTTTATTTTGAGCAATAGATTAATGACTTGTGAAAGTTCACTTCTATTTCTCTGAAGCAAATATACTAGTGAAATAGTTTTTCGATTAATTTGGGGCCTAAAAGAGAAATCTCTGCATCCTGACTTTTAATTCTAAAAACTTTTAAAATGTAAAAGTTTCCCCCAAAGAGCATTATTTTAAATAAATCTTAATAGTGAATAATAACAAACTCAGAATTTCGTAACTTCTTGCATTTGTATGGTGTATGGCATTTTATGCTTTTAAAAGTGCTTTCCGGCCGGGTGCAGTGGGTCACCCCTGTAATCCCAGCACTTTGGGAGGTCGAGACGGGCGGATCACGAGATCAGGAGATCGAGACCATCCTGGGTAACACGGTGAAACCCCGTCTCTACTGAAAATACAAAATATTAGCCGGGAGTGATGGCGGGCGCCTGTAGTCCCAGCTACTTGGGAGGCTGAGGCAGGAGAATGGCGGGAACCCGGGAGGCGGAGCTTTCAGTGAGCTGAGATCTGAGATCACACCACTGCACCCCACTGCACTCCAGCCTGAGACTGTAGTCCCAGCTACTTGGGAGGCTGAGGCAGGAGAATCACTTGAACCAGGAAGGCGGAGGTTGCAGTGAGCCAAGATCGCGCCATTGCACTCCAGTCCGGGCGATAGAGTGAGACTCCAAAAAAAAAAAAAAAAAGGGAGGGGGGCTTTCCCATTATTTCATCTTCAGAACAACTAGTCGAGGGTGACTTGGATAGTGGTGATTTTTATTTTAACAGAGGTATGAGTAATAGGTTCAGAGAGACCCTGGTCATACAATCAATTAATAGCAGATTTGACAGATCCCTTGATTTCTCTTGTCTGCATAGCATTACTTCAAAATTCTAGCCTTAGCTATGACTTCTGGTATTTGCTTCATAATAAGTTTCATGCTAAAGCATGGTTCATAATGGGTAGAAAATAAAGTTTTTTGGCCAGGCGCAGTGACTCATGCCTGTAATCCCAGCACTTTTGGAGGCAGAGGCGGGCATATCACCTGAGGTCAGGAGTTCGAGACCAGTCTGACCAACATGGTGAAACCTCATCTCTGCTAAAACTACAAAATAAAGCCAGGCGTGATGGCACCTGTGATCCCAGCTACTTAGGAGGCTGAGGTAGGCGAATCGCTTGAACCTGGGAGGCGGAGGCTGCAGTGAGTTGAGATGGTGCTGCTGCACTCCAACTTGGGTGACAGAGCGAGACTCTGTCTCAAAAAAAGAGAAAAAAAAAAAAGAAAATCATGTTTTTCATTTGTGGTTTTATTTCCCCCCATTTTTTTTCTTGATTGATTCAGAATAGATGGTGAGCTTGGAGGGAACACTCAGCCCTTACAGAGAGAATTAATTCAGTCTCAAGTAATAGTTGCTACCTGTTTCTTTTTTTTTTTCCTCTGTGAAGATTCCAGAAGTAACCTGTTTCAACCACATGCTGATATAGCCAGAGACATCACTAATGTGCCAAGGTTTCCCTTGGAGCTTGAGCTGCAGATCTTTACCTGCAGTTTTGTTTTTTTATTTGTTTTGTTTTTTGAGACAAGGTCTTACTTTCACCCAGGCTGGAATACGGCTCCCTATAGCCTCAGTCTCCTGCGGTCAAGTGATCCTTCTATTTCAACCTCCCAAATAGTTAGGAAAAGGTGTGCACCACTGCGCCTGGCTAATTTTTTAAATTTTTTGTAGAATTGGGGTCCCACTATGTTGCCCAGTGTGGTCTGGAACTCCTGGGCTCATGGGATCCTCCTGCCTGGGCCTCCTAAAGTGCTGAGATTACAGGTGTGAGCCACTGCACTCAGCCTAATTAGCTATTCTTATTTATTCTGTTTTCTTGTTCATTCCAAGCCTACTCATTCATTCACTTATTCAAATATTTATTAAGCCTTTACTGTGTTCCAGACACTGTTCTAGGTGCTGGGGATTTAGTAGCGAATAAACAGGTATGCCCTCATGGAGATTACATGGCATAGGAGGCAGACAATAAGAATAAATAACTAAAATATATACTGTGTTAGGTAGTGGTGAGCACTAAGAAGAAAAATAATACAGAGGACTGGACACGGTGGCTCACGCCTGTAATCCCAGCACTTTGGGAGGCTGAGGCGGGTAGATCATGAGGTCGGGATCCAGAGCATCCTGGCCAACATGGTGAAACCCCATCTCTACTAAAAATACAAAAATTAGCTGGGTATGGTGGCATGTGCCTGTAGTCCTATCTACTCGGGAGGCTGAGGCAGGAGAATCACTTGAACCCAGAAGGTGGAGGTTGCAGTGAGCCGAGATTGTGGCACTGCACTATAGCCTGGTGATACAGCGAGACTCCATCACACACACACACAAAATAATGCAGGGAAGAGGACTGTGGAATGTATATGTGGTGTGAGGAGGAGGGTTTGAAATTTTAGCAATGGTGACGAGATAACTTTATGAAGATGACTAAGTAAAAGCCAGGAGCAAAGTGAGGGAGCTAGCCATGAGGATATCTATAGGAAGAGCATTCCTGGCAGAGGAAACAAATTCAAAGACCTTAAGATGGGAGGATGTCTGGTGTGTTTGAGGAACAGTGAGGGAGGCCACAGTGGTTGGATAGTTGCAGATGAGATCAGAATGATCAGGGGAGGGCAGATCACATGCAACTTTCTTTTAGGAAGGACTTTGGCTTTTATTTTGAGATGGGAAATCACTGGAGCAGAAGAGTGACATGATGTGACTTAATGGCTTAATGGGATCATTCTGACTACATTGTTGTGAAAGACTGAAGGAAGAGTGTGTCTGGAGTTGGTTCCTTCTGGTGGGTTCTTGGTCTCGCTGACTTCAAGAATGAAGCCACGGACCTTCACGGTGAGTTGTTACAGCTCTTAAAAGTGGCACGGACCCAAAGAGTGAGCAGCAGCAAGATTTATTGTGAAAGGTGAAAGAACAAAGCTTCCATAGTATATAAGGGGACCCGAGCAGGTTGCCCCTGCTGGCTGGGGTGGCCAGCTTTTATTCCCTTATTTGTCCTCACCCACATCCTGCTGATTGGTCCATTTTACAGAGTGCAGATTGATTCATTTTTTACACAGTGCTGATTGGTGCATTTACAGTTCTTTAGCTAGATACAGTGTTGATTGGTGTGTTTTTACAGAGTGCTGATTGGTACATTTACAATCCTTTAGCTAGACACAGAGCACTGATTGGTCCGTTTACAATCCTCTAGCTAGACAAAGAAGAGTTCTCCAAGTCCCCACTCGACCCAGGAAGCCCAGCTGGCTTCACCGTCTTAAGAGGACAAGGGCAGAATTGAGGAGCCTGGTTAGGAGGCTGTTTTAGTAATTAGGCAAGAGATAGTGGGTTGGACCAGAACAAGTGTCAGATTTTGGATGTGTTGTGATGGAAGAGCCAATAGGATTTAATGGTGTGCCAGATTTGGGGAATGAAAGAAAAAGGAGTCAACGATAACACCAAAGTTTTTGGCTTATGAGTCTTCAAGAATTGGGTTGCTATTAGATGAGAGAGGGAAGACTTACAGTGGTGTTCATCCTTCTCTTTCCACTCTGATGTCACTTTGGGGCCCCTCCTTTAGCAAGGGGTTGCTAATCTAAGTGTCCTGTGTCTGTAGGTTACCATTTTTTTTGATTGATGACTGGTTAGAGTGTGATACTGGAGTTTGAATGTGGTAGTTTAGAATTGGTAATATAATTGAATTATCTTTCCCTAGCAGATTAATTTTGCATTGTTTGAATCAGTGCATTCATGAGTTGTTGAAATCATGAGTGAAAGTAGTACACATCATTATCTTTCCACTATGTAGTAGTTTAGAAAAATCACATAAAAATGATTATAATATTTTATGACATTGAATAGAAAATATCAAAGTGCATCTCTCTTATCAAGGGTAAAATTTTGTGAAACTTTGTTCAGTTATATATAATGTCTTTTTTTTTTTCTTTTTGGAGACAGTCTGGCTCTGTTGTCCAGGCTTGAGTGCAGTGGTGCCATCTTGGCTCACTGCAACCTCTGCCTC